GCTACCTTTCTGTATATAGCTGCGGTAAATATTCATGTTATAGCCTCTTACAATTATTCTCTGTTTATATATTTGAAAATAGGTGCGTTCGAGTTGAACTGGAACTGTGCAGATCTGATTGTTGTTGGTCTGTGCGTGGTGCATGCTAGTTAGATCTCTGTCTAACTCTCTCCTACCTGCGTCTTATATCTGTAGTGTGCATTGAAACTTTGAGAAATCAGAATGATATCAGTCGTCTGAGGCAGCTGCCACAGTTGCTTTTTTGAGATTGGGTTTGAGATTGGGCCAAAATCAACTGCAGCGGCTGCACTGGGAAAACACCCTTCTGTCCACAAAGGCTTATTCCCAATAGATTTTTTGATGCGTCATCAATGTGTTTGTAGTCTGTAGCTGGGGTATTTATTTATTGTATCTAGGGGCAGCTATTACAATGCACTTCACACCATTGATTCTATGATAAATTTCCCTTAGTGGACATTAAAGTATATTCTATTCTATTCTTGACAAAAATTATGACTTATACTGACACTTTACTTTAAACAAACTGCATATTATACTATATAGGAAAGTGTAGACAGCAATGCCAAAGCTGAATAAAAGGTGTGTGAATGAGCTGATCTTCTGTTGATTGCTACTATAGAGATTAGCAGCAGTTCGGAGACGTTCGCACAATCCAAAAGCTCATTTAGCACCTTAAAATAAAAACTCTTAAAATATTGATCCTTTTGTTTTTATTAATGTCACTCTGGAACAAACAGACATATAAATTGTGTCAATCAACAAACTGTTAAAAGCTGTTAGCTAAAAGCTTAAATTAAAACAGAAAATTGGCCAATTAGGTCTATTTCTTCCTGCTTCTGCTGCTGCCTTCACTGCTTGCAGAGGCGGGACATTTAGGAGGAGTGCGAGAAGCAGAGGCACCGCTCAGGTCCAGGTCCAGACTCAAAGTTGTCACCCGAGGAGAGGAAGCTGCACAAGCTTCAGAGCCGCTGCCTGCTGCAGATTCAGGAGAGCTGGAGAGGTCCATAAAGAAACAGAGATACAGAGACCTGACGTTAGGCTTTAATCAGTTGAAGCTTATTTTCCACAGTGGGCAGGTGAAACATTAACAATGCTTTAAAACAAATGTGCCATAGCCCAGACATCCAGGTTTAGTTCTTATGTTGGAAGTGTGGTTGACTGGGTTTATGTTTATCATCACCATAACTAAGATAGACATGTGGGATATTTAGGATGGTTTTACTGCAGCCACGTCTAACTGTTAACGTTTAACTTTAAAGTATAAAATACACCAGAAGTGTTAAAGCAAGTAGGCCCAGCAAAGCTGCATGCACACATAAGGCTGTGTTGTGGTACAAATATAAGCTGGAGTACGTGATAAGTCTGAACTCTGATTGGCTGTCACCTACGCTCGCTGCACGCATCCCTGTGAGACGAATCACACCCAGAACAGCAGTGAGAAGTGGAGAGTTATTGTCACCTGATCATTTAAATAAGAGATATAATGCCTAATTCTCATCCCATGAATATGTACAAATTATTAATTATATCACAAAAACATTGATTCTTAAACATACATTTTATTGGCCAAGATAAATGTTAGAATAATTGTATATAAATGTATCTGTGTAGTGTTATCATGCCTAAAGCTGTGTGCTATGTGCATGTTTTCATAGCCATCTTTTCTGAAGTATACTGTGGTTTGTAGATTTGCTTTTGGGGAGGTTGTGGTTGATTGACGAGCAGCACTCAACCTGCTGAACTTTGGTGAACAGCTTAAACTTTGACTGAACCCTGAGATTTAGAGGACATGTTTACTGCGACTGCAAGTCTGAGTTCCTTGTCTTGCACCCCCCCCCCCCGTGTAGTCTCAGATGGGACCAATGATTTTCAATAATTAGTGAGGAGAAGAGTGGGTTGAGATTTGTAAACTCTGCAGTCTCTTCCTACTCTCCTCACGAGTAAACTAAATGAATTGTCTCTGTGCCTTCTTTCTTTCCCTGTATGAATGTATGATGTTTTAGGTGCTTAGACCTGACAATAAACAAATATGATTTAGAATTAATAATATAATTATTATGGTTAAATATTTCATACTGAAATGTTTTTTTACCAAAACTCTCCCAACAATCATAGCATTTAAAAATGAAATAAATACTTTGTCTTTAAAGAAAATGTCTACCACCAATGCTTTTCTGTCTCAGTGTCTTTCTTTGTTACCCCTTACATCTTATATTCTTTATCTTTTTCAGTTCAGTTTATTTCTATAGCGCCAATTCACAACACGTCATCTCAAGGCACTTTACAGTTCACCAGATTGAATGTAAAGTGCCTTCAGTCTAGTGATTATTCCTTTTCAAAGTTTATATTTTTTATTGTTGATCTAATTTACTATTGAATAGCTTATTTTGAAT